TCAAAGTGAATCCAGGCGTGACACTCATCGCACAGAATTTCTTTAGACTCGTCATTTTTTTTACAAACTGCGCAATTCCAATCTTTGGAAGTTTGTTTCTTTTTTAAAATGCTTTGAATTTTTTTCAAAGTTTCATCATTAATGTAATTAGATAATAATTTAATATTGTAATTTTCACTTTGGAAGTTGTCCCGAATGGGTTCGTCAAGATTAATGTCAGTTAATTGCAGTTTGTACGTCTTATCACTAATTTTCTTTAGCAACTCTTCATTTGTAACACCAAGCCATTTAAGCATCCTTAGAATTTTCTTATTTGTTGCTTTTGTTTCATCGCTAATGTTTTCCTGTAAAGTTTTGCTATTGACATCACTACCTTTAAAATTTTTAGTATCAAATTTTGGTTTTTTTGCTTGACAATTTTTTGCTTTATCATCTTTTTCGTCAATTTTTTTCTTTATTGTAAATTTGTTTGTTATTTTTTCATTTTTAAGAATAATCACTTTTTCTTTTGATTTTGAACGTCTATCCTTGACAAAGTCATCCTCGCTATCACTAATATTATCGTTTAATTTACTTGCATCCGAAGACAATTGTTTTTTTTTTACTTTCTTTTGCTTCTTTCATCTTTTCGATTTCTTGTAGTCTTCCTGTTAGAGAAGTAATATATTTTTCGACTTCTTTTGGGTCATCCAAGTTTGTAATTTTCTTCAGAATATCGTCAGACTCAATTTTAGATGGGCTGGCTGAGGAAGAGCTTGCAGCTGTAGAGTTAGCAACTACGGAAGAGCTTATCACTGAAGAAGAAGGCTAAAAGAAAATCATATATTATTATTTTTATAACTATACTAGTACTTATTATCATTATTTTTATCATAATTATTATTATAATAATAATAAATTATATAATAATAAAAATGATAAACACTTACATAATCTGGTGGATGGTTATGGGCTAAATTTACCGAGCGAATCGAAATTTGATTTATTCTCCGCAGTACTCGAACCGTTACATGCGCTGGGCAATTTTTTTTTTAAACTCCTGTAACAACAGTCCAATCGATATTCATTAGAATTAATGAAAATTCATCGATACTATCATTTGTTTAATTAAATGTTTAAACATTATAAAAAATTATTCATGCAATTAAAATTTTCGCTGATATAGATATAAATATAATTGACTTACTTCTTTTCATTTTGTTCTTTCGCCCCCCGAAACTTTCCTGCATGTTCGCATTTATAATATCTTTCGTAAAATGAAAATTTTTTATCAATCCTCACTTTAGAAGCATCAGCTGACCTCGAATTCTGTCTAGTAAACTTGTACCCTGTAGCATTTTCGTATTTTTTAATTTCACTTTCTAATTCAATTGGCGTATCAAACGTTTGCTCGTAGTTGAGACGCCACGTTTCATTAACTTTTTTTGCCATTATAACCTTCAAAACTTATCTCAAAAGTAATATTCGCAATTAATTTTTTAAGTTATAATGGGCAATTTAATAAAATTTGATATCTAATTTATAATCAAAATTTATTTTTTTAATAATAGAGTTAATGTCTATTGGAACAGTTGACGACTTGATTTCGCAGAATAAATATCTCTATTTAGATTAATTTCTAGATAGCGACTTGATCAACTTCAACGAACGCTTTTAAAACTTTTTATGGGCTTGCTTCTATACAGCGAGTTGTTGCTGTAATATTTACTTTGTATTAGAAGACTGAGAAACGAGCGCCAAATTAACGCCATCTATTTAGTGATCGTGTGACTCAAAAGTCAGAGTACTCACTTACACTTAGCAAGCAAGTATTCAATTAATTAGCCTTTTTGATGAGCGAAGTCTTGTTTATAATAGTTGTTCGATTTCACTTTCGCGTAATGGATCAACCAAATATTGACATGATTGGTAAAACATACAAATCGTATGATGATTTGAAAAAATTCATTAAAGAGTATGAAGACAAAAATAAATGTGTGCTTTCAACAATAGATTCAAGGTGTCTGACAGATAAAAGTTATAAAGTTAAAGCAAATTTAAGTTTAAAATATAAATTTTTGCACTACGTTTGCAAACATGGTGAACATTATTATAAGTCAAAAAGTAAAGGGCTCCGAGATGTCAAGTAAATATGATAATCAAAATTTATAATTTCTTAACACACATTTTTTTTGTAATGTATTTCTGAAAACTATGATTATATAATAAAATCTTTGTCGTTATTTTTTAGAAAATGTAAATTGGGTTGTCCGATGTACATAAAAGTAGCCATCTCAAGAAATTGATTGATCAAACGAGGCCGCCGAAGGCGGCCGAAGTTTGATCTAAATTATCCGAGTGTCTCGCACGAGAGATTACGAAGGTAGTATCACTACTTTTATTTTTCAAACCACAAGTTCAGAGCCTAAAAATTTGATTTACGCGCGGCTACCGGCACCTGTGGCGCCATCGCGCTACTATTTCTCATCTAGTTTAAAGCTAACTAATTTTTTCCTATTTCCATAATCGGGTGGGTATCTCCGGATGGCAGTCGGGGCTCATCGGCTGTATTGCCCTTTCATTTCCAGTTATACGCGGAGCAGTGAAGCACTCTCGTATGGCTCGTATCGTATAGTACTGCCATCACCGACGTTTTCTCATCCCCCACCTACATCCCTCTTCTCCGTTCACTGCCGCGTTTGAGCTCTCCACGCCCGAGGGACGATCAGACAGCAGCTGCATCACTCCCGCGGCGTTTGAACTAACTCTCACGTTTCTCCATCTCCGTTTCATGGACTACATCATATCCTGTGGAGAATTGAATCATTGGTAAACCAAAAGAGCAAACTTCGTAATTGTTTTGATTCATTATTTTTTTAAATAAAAAAACTACTTTCGTTGTTTCCTAAACTGAAAATGTTTTAATTTAAAATTATGTACTGTCAGTTTAATTTTTTTGTGAGGCTTGGTGTTGTATGAAAGCATCGTCCTTTGTAATTTATGAAAAAAAAATTATGAAATAATCGTAACATTATCAAGTTCATTAAATCATTAAAAATGACAGTTTATAACGTATCGATATAGAACGTTGTACGTAAAATTAAATGATCCGAACAATGTCAGTGTTTATTCCTATCATTATTGTCTTTCATATAAAACAACACTGATAAAAAATTTAACTTGATTCAAAAGAAAAAATCTTGAATCAAGAATACCATTTTGAAGAAAATAATTTTCTTGTGTCAAGAGGAAAAATTCTTGAATTGAGAATAATTTCTTCACGGTGAGAAATTTCTATTATTTTTTATGGTGCATATTACTAGTGAACCTTATTGACTCAGAATGAAATTTTACAATGGCCCATAGTAATTTCCGAAACAAATGAAATCAGACATAGCAAACGGTAGAAATTGAAATGTACCATAGTAAAATGAAATATGCAATAATTTAAATTTCCGAATAATTTAAATTTACTATAGCAAAAAAAATAAGAAAATGTTTGTAAAAAATAAAAAATTTTAATTAAAAAATATTTTTAGCAATCAAAAAAAATATCAAACCAAACAAGATTTTTTTTTTTGTTTGTAATAATTTTTAAAAATATTTTTTTAAAATATAGTTTTTTTTTATTTTTTTTCTATTTTTTTTTTTATTTTTAACAATTAACGTAGGATTTATTTTGGCAGTTAATTTTATTATAATTAATTATAAACACAATATATAACTTTTCCATTATTTTTTATTATAATAATAATATATTATTAGAAAAGTGTTGGTTGCAGGTTAACCATCAAATGTTTGTTTTAATCTTAATTTTTCTCGGTAAATTATTAAATATTTTATTATTTGGGAATCTTACAAATTTTTATTAATTATTCATATGTTGATGGATTTATAAACTAATATTTATTTAAAACAATGTTTATTGCAATTAACATATGAATAGTTAATAAAAATTTGTAAGATTCCTAAATAATAAAATATTTAATAATTTACCGTGAAAGATTAAGATGAAAACAAACATTTGATGGTTAACCTGCAACCGACACTTTTCTAATAATATATTATTATTATAATGAAAAATAATTTAAAAGTTATATATTGTGTTTATAATTATTTATAATATAATTAACTGCCAAAATAAATCCTTCGTTCAAATTAAAAATAGAAAACAAATAAAAAAAACTATATTTTAAAAAAATTTTTTTAAAAATTATTACAAACAAAAAACATCTTGTTTGGTTTGATATTTTTTTTGATTGCTAAAAATATTTTTTACTCTAAAATTTTTTATTTTTTACAAACATTTTCTTATTTTTTTTGCTATAGTACATTCGGAAATTTAAATTATTGCATATTTCATTTTACTATGGTACATTTCAATTTCTACCGTTTGCTATGTCTGATTTCATTTGTTTCGGAAATTACTATGGGCCATTGTAAAATTTTATTCTGAGTCAATAAGGTTCACTAGTAATATGCACCATTGTAAAATTTAAAATCCATGCAGAATAAAAAATAATAGAAATTTCTCACCGTGTAATGTTCACGGTTTAGAAAATGACCGAGACAACGCAGAATCTCTAGAAGACTGTTTTAATCGATCTATTGATTTAAATGAAACGAATTTAGAGAACATTTCACTTTCAACTAAATCAAAGGTTCGTGGACGGCCGAAAAATATTGACAAGACAGTGATTGGACAATTTAAAGCTAAGAAAAAATCTTTTGTGGACAAAAGTGACTTTCAAAAAATAGAATTAATGATTAAATAGTTGAAAATTGACAAACCTGGACTGGTGAAAAATGCTTTAAATAAAGAATATTTATTAACTTCCGATGATTTCGTTTTGGAAACTCAAAAAATTAAAAGTAGTTTTGTAGATGAAAGAGTAGATTATCAATTATTGGTTCCGTACTTTGAATTAAAAGCTTTCAAAAAATTAGAAAATTTTATAATCGATATAAGAAATAATAAAAAATGGTTATGTCCAGAATGTAAAACGAAAAAAAAAAATAAAATGGTATTCTGTGATGGTTGTTACGCGTGGTATCATTCGACATGTGTTAATGTAAAGAACCAAAGAAAAACGTGGTTTTGTCCTGAATGTAAATAGTTAATAATGTATGACGTATGGATAAATTATGAAATTATTTAATTTTAAAATAACAAAAACTATGAATGGCAACGGAACTTTAAATAAGTAAAAAGTTGTAGATTATAAAATTTTTCTTTTATCATTAAATAACATAATAAATTATAATTTAAAAACTGTTTAGATTTATACATAAAAAATTTTAGTTATTAATAGATATGTATACACACATTATGAATATACAAACACCAGTTGTGAGCAGCTAATAGAAGATAACACACAGCTCAAAATTAAATGTGCAAAGTAAGTAAACTTATCAATAATATATTCTACAATAATACTTAGTCGGTGTTTACCAGTCTATATTAAATGACAGGACAGTCATTTTCGAGTACCGTTTCAGGAGGGCATCATAGTTACCTCATGGATAAGTCTAAATTTGAATGATATATTATCTATTTGCTGATAATTTTTTATTATAACCTGATCCTTGATCAAAAAATCATTGGCTTCCTTATAATTATACAAATTAATAAAATAATAAACCGCGTGACATAAAATTCCTCAATTCCCGGCTCTGTACGGGAAAACCGATGCTTTATTTGTTTAATCAAGACTTGGAGTAATTTATTATTTATTTGCATACAAATATCAATTGAGACTTGATGTTTGATCAAAGAATGATTAGCTTCCTTATAATAATACTAATTAATAAAATAATAATCAGCGTGACTGATAAAATTCCTCAATTCCCGTCTCTGTACGGGAAAACCGATGGTTTATTCGTTAAATCTAGACTTGGAGTAATTTATTATTTATTTGCATACAAATATCAATTGAGACTTGATGTTTGATCAAAGAATGATTGGCTTCCTTATAATTATACTAATTAATAAAATAATAAACCGCGTGACTGATAAAATTCCTCAATTCCCGTCTCTGTACGAGAAAACCGATGCTTTATTTGTTTAATCAAGACTTGGAGTAATTTATTATTTATTTTCATACAAATATTAATCGAGACTTGATGTTTGATCAAAGAATGATTGGCTATCTTATAATTATACTAATTAATAAAATAATAAACCGCGTGACTGATAAAATTCCTCAATTCCCGTCTCTGTACGGGAAAACCGATGGTTTATTCGTTAAATCTAGACTTGGAGTAATTTATTATTTATTTGCATACAAATATCAATTGAGACTTGATGTTTGATCAGAGAATGATTGGCTTCCTTATAATTATACTAATTAATAAAATAATAAACCGCGTGACTGATAAAATTCCTCAATTCCCGTCTCTGTACGGGAAAACCGATACTTTATTTGTTTAATCAAGACTTGGAGTAATTTATTATTTATTTTCATACAAATATTAATCGAGACTTGATGTTTGATCAAAGAATGATTGGCTTCCTTATAATTATACTAATTAATAGAATAATAAACCGCGTGACTGATAAAATTTCTCTATTCCCGTCTCTGTACGGGAATAGAAGCATTTTGATGTATCCCATTATTCTAAATATTCTTTGTTAATGAAAACAATTTTTTTAATATTAAACGATTTTAAAAACTATTCGCTATTTATGGATCTCACGAATATATTTTATTCTATCTTTTTTGTATTACATTTCGAATATCAGCGCTTATTCATATTTGATTGCCCCCTAGCGGTGTTTTCTTAAATATCCGCCCGATTTAATACTGTCTTAAGTTCACTTTACATATTTCCCGTACAAGGAATTACCGTGCACGGGTACGTGAGACTAGACACTCCGTTTTTTTAAATAACTAGAATTGATATGATGTTTTTTTTTTATAACTTCTTTTTCATCATAATTTTAAGTGCAGTATACGCACAGAGAGAATAAGTAACCATACTAATAACATTATACTAATATAGAGTTAAAAATTTTTCTAATACAAAGTTACTTACAGCAACTTAGAGAGACAAATAATGTGAGACGCCTTACGCAAAGGACAAACATTATAATATTATATTAAGAGAAAAAATGGCTATTTTTACGTTTTCTAGTTTGCAGCCTAGATTAAGCATGTAAAAAAAATGTATATATTGTAACTTGTTATGCAAATAATCTTTTTCAAAAAAAAAAAAAAGTAATGAATTAGTCAGTCAAGCATTAGGTCCCAGATTCGGTTCCCGCGCGCGCCGATTTTTTTTTTTTTTTTTTATGGAAATAATTCTATATAATTATATAGGGTCATTTTTCGTATATAATTATGTATGAGTATATATAATTACATATAATCTTTTTTACCCAGGCAATTTAAACATCTGACCAGATCTGGTCAGATCTGATTATATCTGGTCAGATCTCGTCAGATAGAAACAATTTAAATATCTGGCCAGATCTAATCCGTTTTTCCCGGGTAAGGGTTAAATTTACGGTATAAATACTAGCCAGAGCAGAAGAAATTTGAAACCTTGTTCGGCAATCAGCAGATTACTTGCTACGTAAGTAACAATTAATTTTTAATTTATTATCTATTTCTTCTGAATTAATCATTGTTGAAAGAAGATACTCGTAGGTCTTTTTTTTACCTCAAAAATTTTTTTTAATACTCATTTTTTACTTATAAAAATTGTCAAAGTTTAAAAAACTAAAATTTCGGTAAAAAATATTTTTAAAACTTCGGCAGTGGATTAAAAATAGACAACTAATTATTTTTATGTCTTCGCTGGGATTTTTAAAATCTTTAAAGTCTCAGCTTTAAGATTCGTTATTAATTTTTTGTATTCCAACATTTTTTCGGAAAGTTTTCAGCGCCCCCAGTTCAAAAAACCCACTTTTTCGCTAAATTCCCACATTTTTGTTAATTAAAAAATTAATAACTTTTCTTGTAATAAAAATTAAGAAACTAGCTAAAGTTTATTCAAAAGCTGACACTTAAAGCTACAAATTTTATCTACATAATTTTATTCTACACCCAATATTTAATTAATAAAAAATAGTCAAAATAAAAAATTCATAATTTTCGCAAAAATAATTCATTAAATCCTTTATTTATATCCATATTTTTTTTTTAATTTGAATTTTATTGAAAATTTTAATTTTTTTGAAATTGATCAAGTTTTCCGCTCTATCAATATAAACTTAAAATTTTTTCATGAAGCTTAAAAAACTGCGTTGAATGTCACCAACTGCGTGAAAATCGGTTCATTCATTCAGAAGTTATTGCGATTTGAAAATTCAAAAAATAGTGTTTCATCAAATTTCTATCAAACTTTTGAGCTCGAAGAGCTCAAAAGCATACAAAAGCTATTTTTTGAGCTCAAAGAGCTCAAAATAATACACAACTGCTATTTCAAGCGTTTAGGTATAGAATTGGCGGGAAGTTGCAGGGATGGCCTTCAGGGCCAACCGTTTTCCTAATTTTTTTTATTTTATGATCCGTTACATGCTCTTTACCAATTTAAATTATTCCGCAAACCTTTCGCTCAAAGTTCCGGTTGGTTCCAAATGCGGGATTTCTCAGGGAGAAGTTTTTCTTACACGGGCGCTATACTTATTAGTGGGAAAATCACTTTGGTATTTTCCATACAGGAATACCAGTTTCTTTACTGGAGGAAAAAATTTCCTGGGTGGAAAAAAACTTTTTGTTCAGTGTAAACAATTTCGATTTATCAAATTTGATAATTTAATTAATTTAAATTTTATAGATAAGGGAAGCAATGACATACGATTCTTACAGCGGCTAATAGTCGAACTGGGTAATTGGCCGGTGTTAAGAGGAGACCGATGGAATGAAAAGAATTTTTATTGGTTGACACTAGTCAGTGAGTCGTATAGAACGAATTATTTTTTTGAAACATTTATCATTTTCGAAGCTTACAGTGATGAAAATGATACAAACATATTTTCTGTTATTATGATATCGTTAACTTCATGATTTTTATTATTGAACATACTATTTGGTAATTTGGAAGAGAATTTAAATTGATTAGTTGCAATATGTTAAATTATTTTAACCAGTATGCATGTAAGAAATTTTTGCTAAAATTAACCCTCGGAGTACACACCTCCGAACAGAACTTTAGAATACACACAGGATCAGATTGACCCCACTTGACTTTCGAAGAATTATATCTCAGAAACTATGCATTTTGTCGAAATACAGGTTGTTATATTTTTAATAGATGAAACAATGTTGTTTTGAATTCAATCATTATTATTTTGAATTAAATAGTTTTTAATGTTGAAAAAATTAATTAAAAACGAACCTATTTTCGATAAATATTTTAGGATAAAAAAACTTCTGGGGTCAAAATGATCCCTTGTGTACTCCGAGGGTTAATAAACATCAGTTTTTTCAGAATTTTTTTCAATAAATAATTTATTATAATTAAATATAATATGTTAGAATTTCATAAACTCATGAATAAAATTTCTTACAAATATTTTTTTAATAAAATTTTCTTCTTTAAGTAAAACAAATAAATTGTCAAATGTTTACTAAAGTTCAATTTCAAAAATTATGATGAAAGTGAGCAGTTAGATCAAATAAAATAATATTGGAAGTTTATTCTCGTACAGATCAAACCACCGTTCTTTGAATTTTCTAACCATGAGTCAATAAATCAAAGTGATCCGCAGATAAAAGCTTACTATGATTACATGGTTAATATATCTGTGCTACTAGGGGCTGATGAGCCGATTGCTGAAAGTGAACTCAGCGATTCCTTGGAATTTGAATTAGAACTCACAAGTATTTCAAATAACTTATTAATTGACTCATTATTAAACAACACGGCATTAATCGAGGAAATGTCCGTTGCTGATATGATTGAACGTTGGCCTTCCGTCAATTGGATCAAGTTTTTTAAGATGGCTACGCAACCATTTTATGAAATCAACAATGCGACAATTATCAGAACGGCAGGAAGTTTTATTTACTTGGACAATCTCATTCAAATTTTAAATTACACTCCCAAGCGAATTCAGGCTAATTTTGGGCTATGGAACATAATTGAACGTTTAGTACCGTTTGTTAAAAATTCTACTTTCTGACAAGTTTATCAGTCTTATGAACAAGATGACGAATACGACAATGAATTAAATTGCATTGAATTAGTTAAAGAATTGTTACCGGTAAGCGTTCATGCTCTGTATGTGAAAAAACTTAATGATACACGAATTAAGGAAGCAGTGACTGATATATTTATCGAAATAAAACAAAAGTTGATAGATACTTTGAGTTCTGTCGATTGGATTGATGAAGAAACTAAAAAAAATGCTATCGCAAAAGCGGAAGCTATAAAAAGTCTTATCGCGTATCCGGATGAATTATTAGATGATGAAATGCTAGAGGAGTATTTTGCAGACCTTGATCTAGATAATGATTGTTTTCTGAAAAATAGTGTTCAATTGAAGAGATTTAATTGGATAAAGGAGATGGAGAATATAAGTAAATCTTTTAATATATATTATAGGGCAAATTGGAATGTTACTTCCTTTGATCTGATTAAGAGTAGAGCCCATTACATTCCAACTTTAAATTCATTTGGTGAGTTCATTTTATGTTTTATAAAGTTAATGTATAGAAAGTGTAAACTTACTTATTAAATCAAAGTAATAACCAGAAAAATGATATACTTTTTATAGTAAACAGAATCATAAACATTAAAAATCCTCTCATTCAATTTTCTTTCATCTTTCACTTAATGAACATCTTTACAACTCGAACAGATACCACAAGGTTCCAGCTTTACTAGTATTCAAGTTCGATGGACTTCCATCAAACTAATGGGAAGAGAGAATATAGCTCTCGAACAAAAGGGAAGATGGAACATCCATCTTTGGGCTTAAATAAAAAATCTACTAGTCACTCAACCTACTATGGCTTCAAAACTTAACTAATATTAACAATCCTAATTAATAGAAGTAAACGAAAGTAATAAATTATGTATCGAGGGTTTAATATTCAAAATTTTCAGCAATGACCACAGGATTGCTCCAAGGCTTAATTTTCGGGATCCATCGTCCTAATTACATGAATTACGGAGCAACTGGAACAATTATAGGTCATGAGGTCAGCCACGCTTTTGACCCCTTCAGATTTCAATATGACCATATTGGAAGAGTAAACAATTTGTGGACTGATAAATCGTATAATGCGTATCAAGATAGAGCACGTTGCTTCATCTACCAATACAATAATTATACCCTAGATGCAAGCGAACAAAAAGTAAGTTTCAAAATAATCATTTCATTATCAAGAGATCGAGTTAATTGAATAGAGTCATTTGGAGTAAATGTGCGCAGTGGGTAAGAGTGCGCAATCCCATGTATTTAGGACTCAAATGAATGGGTTTGCGCACTCTTACCCACTGCGCACATTTACTCCAAATGACTCTATGTCCCATTTTTTATTTTTTTTTAGTTGAATGGTACTAGAACTCTAGCTGAAAATATTGCAGACAATGTTGGCATAAGAATAGCTTATCTAGCTTACCAAGATTGGGTAGTGCGAAATGGACCTGAACCAAGTTTGTTGGAGTTGTCTTCATACACTTCCAATCAATTATTTTAGTTATCTTATGCGAGCTTGTGGTGCACTTCATACTCCCCAATGGGATGGAAAATTCAAAGTAATGGTGTACATTTGCCAGCCAATTTTCGAATCATTGGATCGCTTTCAAATATGCCCGAATTTTCCCGTGACTTCAACTGCCCTTTAGATTCCAATATGAACCCGCGAAAAAAATGTAAACTGTTTTGATTATGTAAAATATACGTAAATAGAAGAATATGGATTTCTGAAAACAATTGTTTGGCAATTCATTGTGCTCCTTCTCGAAATAAATTATAATTTCGTATCATCTTTTTGATATGCATCGCGAACGCATGCGCAGGGTATCATTTATTCTATCATATAATCATTTTAAACTCATTGAAATATCTACAATTAATAATAATCGTTCAGTAATGACTAAATATCATAAAATAAGAATATGATGATAATGATAAACTGTGGTTTTTTTATTAATAAAGTATGCTGAACTACGAATTTTCTAGGTAGAACATTTAAACAATTATATGTGACAAACTCTAAGTACTCGTGCAGAAAAGTTACCGAGTCTCAAATGACTAAGTCGAGATATTTCCTAATTCTTTTAGATGCTAACTTAAGCCAGGTGTATTGCATTCTGCATTATGTAGCATCGGTTCAATGATAGAAGTAAATGATAATGTTACCTACAGTTTCTCCATAAACAGTTGGCGGCAAACATAATTTAGACCTATGTGTCTACATTCGCGTATTGTATAGTATAAGTTCCCCAATAACCAAAGTTGCAGTGCTGTTATACGAAAAAAAAATGGAAGCTGCAACATGATACATTCCTCTAGTAGCAACATGAAAAACTCATGTGATAGCAACATGATTTTGATATTGTAGCCACATGAATATTCTGTAGCAGAAAATAATAATAATGATAATAATCATTCAAATTTTATAACTAAATACACTGTAAAAAATTTTCGGAGCAAATTCTAACTTTAAAAAATTTGTTAGTTAATATCCAGTAGCCAATGATTCTTAATGAAAAAAGCATCTCATTTTATCGAAAAGAATTGGATAAAACTAGGATAACGAGATATACAATCTCAACACGAGAAGGATTTTTTAATAGCGACAACGATCCGTGTTTTGCAGTTTTTAATATTTCTATGATGGTAATTATTAAAATAAAGCAGTCGTAAGATTTCTCATCCAGAGATCTTTTCCCATAGGAATCTCTACAGGGTATCCCAGAAGTAACGGACGCCACTGTAGCATCTAATGAAAAAAATAATTCTGAGACGACAAGTCCTTAGCCATTTTTTAATTAGACGCATAGATAATTAATTATTAATTAAAATAACGTTTCTTTATGTGTTAGAAAGAGAGCGCCAGTGTCCAGTAAAGTATGTGCCAAACAAAGACACAACTAACTATATGACTAACTAGCTACTACAGCATACGTAGTCACACACATTTACTTACACATTCACACGTGCAAGCGTCTTCGTTTGGAACGCATTTGACTGGACACTGGTGCTCTCTCTCTAACGCATAAAAGGACGTTATTTTAATTAATAATTAATTATCTATGCGTCTAATTAAAAAATGGCTAAGGACTTTTCGTCTCAGAATTATTTTTTTTATCAGATGCTACAATGGCGTCCGTTACTTTTGGGACACTCTGTATATAGTGATCCTATTTTTTAGAACTCACCACCAGCTTCCTCCCATAGAGGAAAGTACCACGGGGCCTAGCTTGGCCCAGGCTTGGCCCAACTATGTAAAACTCTGGGCCAAGCTTGTAAGCCAGGCTTGGCTCAGTCCTGGTTGAAGTCTGGGATGATAACGATGGCCCAAGCCTGGTTACCAGGACTGGGCCAAGCCTGGTTACCAGGACTGGGCCAAGCCTGGTTACCAGGACTGGGCCATGCCTGGTTACCAGGGCTGAGCCATAGTTAATTTTCAAGTCTGACCCATGCCATTTGATCAAAAATGATAAAAAAATAATTTTTGGGGTGTTTTTTTTTTATTTTAATTAACCAGTAGAGTGAATTTAATCCTAACTGTCGCAAATTATAGAAATAAAGTGAAAATCGTATCCGTTCTAACCGAGATTCGAACCCGAGCCACGCGCTTCTCAGACCGACACCTAACCCCTACACCGTACGACCGATAGGTTGATACACATCTCATCATTCTCATAAGTTAAATCTATATGGTGACTAAGTGTGACGGTTTATTATTTATATAATTTATGTTATTTAATATTGTTTTTTGATGAAAATTAACTATTTTTTACAAATGTTTATTAGTTAAAAGAATGCAAGAGTCAAGTTCTTATATTACTTTAAACTTTGTACATCGTT